AAAATCCTAAACCCTATTCTATTTCTCATTTCTATTCAACCAGCCGCTCCCCCTCATCGACCAGCAGTGAGATCCCTCCTCATGGTTGGCGACTTGGGATGTTTGGGATTGTGGAAATGGGTTGTATGTGAATATGAATGGATGAATAATGATATGGCGACTTGGGTTTTTGTGGAATATGGCTTATCATTTTTTTTTTCCAACGTTTAATCTCGCCTAGGCAATGATTAATCGGCCTAGATGCTGGGCGGTGCCTCCTCGCCTAGATAGCGCCTAGCGTCTTCTTGAACATTGCTCCAATGACAAAATGATTAGTGCAAAGTAGATGGTTCAGCCTTACAACTTATAAGCAATTGGTTCAATTTCAAGGAGGAAGCAGAGGGAGGGGAGATAAATAGATGTAACTTGACAAAAAGGAAAGGCACCATAACCATTTTCTGGTTTCCAGTTTGCAGTGATTCAATGATATGGTAATCTAAGTGACATGCTCTAAATGGATAAGAATGCAGTGACGATGGCTATGGTAAGTAACTGGAAGAGCAAGTCTCTCGAGGAGCTGCTCGAGCTTGACTGCTTCGGATTGAAGAATTCTTCGCTAGAAACCGAGGTATTCATTGATGACGAGCCTGAAAGAGGGGGTACGATCGAGGAGATCAGTCAGATATATTGTTCGAAAGGAAACTGAATTGGCATAAGGAAGGATGGAGATATCTTCACTTACAGTCGTAATCAACCCATCCAACCCGTTGACGAACCAAATCGTACACGAAAATCTTGTCCTTGATAACAAGATCTGCAATTGACAACAAATGGCAGTCAAAATCAGAACACTAAACAGGACAGTCTTTAACACCATTCTTGACTTGGTATTTACTGATGAAAGATACACAGGATCGAAGATTTTAGGGTCCCCAACCTCCTAAAATGGTTAGTCCTTGAAGCTTCCTAAAACCTATGCACCACATGCTGCCATCCTGTGTCAAGGAAGTATGAATGGCACATTGGCCTATGAGACTTGGCAGAGGGGAAAAACCATTGAATTCCATACATAGTATAACATCCTCGATAGCCAAGGTTTGAGCTGTGTCTACTTACGTCATAAAGAACAAGGTACTGCTCAGGTTTTAGTAGCATAGAAGCGCCGCCAACGAAGTTCAAGCTTACTGGAGGAAATAGGCTGCATATAAAGGTTCAAAACACATATGAGATATACCATAACCAAACCTAAGCATGAAAAACCAGTCTTTGTATTGTACAATGTCAAACCTGGAACTGATTGGGTAACAAAGGTACCCATTTTTCATTCTAGGAGTCCCGAATTTTGATACAGCAGCATTAACCTAAAATTCCAACGAGCCAATTAGTTTTACAGACACTAAAGAAGACTCCAAAGCGTTCAAAAGCATTCTCACACCATAGTTCTGAGGCCCGGGGAAGGACTGTTACTTACACTGTGGACAAATGGATCGTATGCTTCTTCAACAAGGTACGACAATGTTGTTCCGGTATCAATAAATGTTGCACGATCAGCCGATGGTGTAAAGGCTCGAGGATCAACTGGTACCGTCTGTCCATCAACTGCAATGCTCTCCAAGTGTAAGCTGTAATGGGGCCTGCAAGTGTGAAGATGAAGCTTTAGGCAATAAAGATTTCGTATTTCACAACCTAATTGAACAGTAACAACTCAGAGTTGCATAATATAGATCATGCTTACTGTGATGGGACGAGTGGGGTGTACACCATCCTTGGAGCTGTAATCTCTCCAAGTACAAAAACCCCACCTCCAGTTCCCTCTCCTTTCAAACAGTGGGAGAAAACTCGAGGTGTGATCCCTCTGTAATATAACTGAGAGAGAACGGACAGATTGCCTTTTCCAAATCCGAAAATGCCATCAACAGCTAGGGTTGTCTCAGCCAAGACACCGGACCGGTAGGTGCTGACACTGTATCCAAACAAGCATTCATCAAGGCTTCATCTAGTGACCTAATGCCACAAATTGGATCTACTTCTAATGTACAACATGATTGAAAGGGTTTGTTGACATTGAATTGGTGGTCATGCTAGACTTGATCAGTACATATGTTCTAAATTTTTATCACCAAATTAATACCTGCAACCATCAGAAATTGTAAGCTATATAGCCAGGTGAACTTTCTTCTTCAATATGAATCATCTAGCTATCCTACTAGACTAGTTACTAGTTGTATGCATAGCAACTAAACTTTGATATATCTGCTGTGTTTATCAATATTTATCAGTTGTAAGCATAAGAACTTACCCGAATAGGATTGCCGCTGAGGCATTAGGAGTAGTGGAGCCCGACGGAATCGATTCGAAGTGAAAAGTATCCGCCATGTAATTTCCTGATGTAGTCGCCCCATCCATATACTCCAATGCATAGCCACAGAGTTGGTCGTTCCTCGGACAACGCGATGCATTCCGTGGAGCAACTGCAGCACAAATCTTGTCCGAGCAAGAAATGGGCTTGGAAGTGGAAGACGCCGCCGCCTCATATGGATTGAGCTCGATCTACACAGTAAGGAATACATCATGAGTTGAATGACAACCTTAGAACAAATAAACAGTATAAACTCAATCAGAATCAAGTTAAAAAAACACAGAAAATAGAGCTCACCCCGAATCGGCTTGAGCGTGGACACGTCGGGCAGGACTTGGAGTTGAGCCAGGTTAGGTCACTCCCAGTATCAATCTGTAGATTGAATTCTCTGGCGGGAGTGCCTAATTTCACTTTTGTGAAATAAATTCTGTCCCATAAAACAACACACGAGGATCAAATCAAAGGGTTGGGTGATGACTAAGGTAATTGACTGACAACAGAAGTGGTGAGCTCACAAGAACCCTAATTTTCTTTCTTCGTGCGAATGCACAGCAGAGAATAGAGACGGGTGGACTTGCAGATTAGGGTTTCGTGTCAAAGAAGGTATGTAGGAAGGAAGGAATGAACTCTGCAAAGTGGGCTTAAATTATTTCCGGCCCGCAGGCTATGTGCCTAAATGGGCCGTTTCCTTCCCTGGGCTTGGTAACAAAGATTAAACTATTTAATTAATTGACTATGAGAGACCAACTAATTCGTGTGTGTTTTGATTTGTCTGTCATTTTGGCGCCAAAATTCCCTAGGCAACCACCATTACAGTCTTGAAGTTTCAGTAGAAAAACAGAGTACTAAGCCACCCACAAGCGAAAAGCTAGAGAAACATACCCGTAGTAGAAAGAATCGGCAGAGCCATATACAGAGAAGTTGACGAGGCCACTGAAGAGACGGGCGTGCCTGGCTCGGTCCCTAGCTTTGTGGTGCTCCACAGCAACAACGGAAGAATTAAGAGGAACCATTCTCTCCAGATGAAGAACTGTAGAGGCGGCGGCGGCGGCGGCGAGGATCACCGCGGCAGTGATCAGAAATGCCATTCGAGAAGAAGTGTAAATTCTCATTTCTTAGGAACAGAGAAAGATAAAAACAGGGGAGTGTAGAGAACAGAGTAAGGTAAACAGTGTGAGGCTTGAACAGAAACAGGAGATTCGGAAAGGCGGACTAGAAAGAACAGGTTTTTTTTTAACGGATTGTATCTGAAACTTAAAAGGACCGAAGGATTAACAATGGGAACTGATTGGTTCTTCTCGGAATTGTCTCTTGAAGGTTAAGGCTATAAAAACAGCAGATTACTGGAACAAAAACAGAGGAGGCAGAGAACAGGGGAGGGATGAATAATGGTTGGAATAGATCGATACTTCTGGGAATGAGCAACGGTAGGATGGAGCAAATTTGCTGTTTCTAGGGGCTAAGATTTTTGGAATAGATCGATACTTTTTGGGGTTTCTTCTTAATTTTTTTTTTTTATCTTCTTTACAGAGTTGCTGGTTTCTATAATAAGCGGAATCCGCAGGGGCGGGCAGAAAGCTTGGAAAACAGACATCTCACCATCTTTGTTCCTTCTCGATAAGAACTGAAACTTCAACTTCTGTAAATGGCCTGTTTGTTTACTTTACGGAGCCCACTAGGGTTTGAAAGATAGAACAATTTCAGGAATGGCGTCCCCCATTGGATATAATCATCTCTTCCTTCTTCTTCACCTTTTTTTATTTTGCAGTGTGCCTTCCCAAGATTGCATTCCATGCTTTGCTACTTGCCACCATGACTGGCCATTCTTGAGAAACCAACCCATCACTGTATGTGTTTCTTTTATAGAAACCCAGAACGAGAGGGACGTTGAGAGAGCTACAGGCGAGCCATTTAAGGATGGAGGTTGGGGACTGGGATTGGAGGCATCTTTCCAAAAACTCATCAGCAAAAATGGCAATGAAATTTTCTAATGAGACACAGGTAGCTAGCTTTTTTACTATTAACATGAATTAGGGTAAGAGATTAATTTAGAAGGACCAACTTTCAGTCCTTTGTGTATATCTTTCTCTTTCAACTAGTAAGTCCCAACGCAACGCAATGGCTGTTCTAAGTTCTAACTGTTTTGCGTATTCTAAACCACAAGCAGTGCCTATTTGCTACGGAGATGTAGCAACGCAAACAACAAAGAGCAGAACATTTAGCCATTGATCGGATTCTTGACGAGGAAGGAAGAGAGTAGTTGTAGAGTGGAAGAGTGTATTACCTAACAAATGGCAGCTACTGTCTAATGGAAATGGGAAAATGGTAGGCAGATGAAAGAATCAATGAGAATGGTAAAAAGACGGGGAAGCAAAAAATCAAGCTCAGTTGCGCTCATATTTCGTCCGAAGATCAGACGTTAGCAAGAGGACCACTCCCACAAAGAGCGCAGAGTTTCATCATAACTCGAAATGCACCAGCCGGGAATCGAACCCGGGTCTGTACCGTGGCAGGGTACTATTCTACCACTAGACCACTGGTGCCTGTTGGCTGACCTTCCTCACTTTTAATATTAATTTTATGAATATGTTTAATTTCCCAATTTCGCCACAAATTTATCCAGTAGAAGAAAGAGTGTGACAGAGCGAACGAAACAAGGAAAATGACGACTCCCATTTTCAAGGCATCAATTCCACACTCCAATCCACTGTTCCACTCCCTGCATCCGGTTGTATGGACTTCAGCTGTAAATGGAATCCCCAAGAAGAAGAAGAAGCTGCTGCTTAGCGGAGCTCTACTCTCTCCGGCCAGCTTGCGTTATCCCCTTTCCATTTCTTCGGCCCGAATTGCCTTGTCTACCGCTTCCCACTATCACTTGGGAGCAAACACGAGTATATGTGCATAGCAAGTGATGAAAATATGTATGATCTAGTTTTTGGAACCATGCAATGTTGATCCAAATTAGTAAGGGCAGAAATGGATAGGTTCAGTCTGGGATTTGAGTTCAGGTTACTTCCTGATAAAAAACGTATCAGTGGGATTTGCAGGTCAGAGGTATCACTCTGTGTTGGAAGTCACCTCATTCAACATCCCAACAAGGTAGACAGTGGTAGTAAATTCTTTGTTCCAGACTGTTCGACATTGGATGATCTCTTCTTGTGCCCTGATGCTAATTCTTTTCACAGATGGAAAAGGGCGGGGAAAGATGCATTTTTCGTAAGTAGCTACAATGGTGGAGTCCTTGCCGTTGCTGATGGTGTCTCAGGGTAACTTAATTGAAACTGACTAGTTGCACTGTTCCGCGTTCCCTTTCGTTTCGTTCTGCTAGAGCTGGAAGTTGATATGCTTTTGTTAGTATCATTAACATGCAAACCAATTGTTATTGCTTTAATGCTTTTCAGTTGGGCTGAAGAGGATGTGTATCCTTCACTTTTTTTTTTCCGGGAACTGATTGCAAATGCTTCTGGTTTCGTGCCAGATGACGAGGTTAGCATTATCATATTAGCATTGCAGTAATGTGCAGAGAAGTAACTAGAGAGATATAGCGGCTGAATGCTTGTTTCCTTTTGGTTGTAAGACTCCTTGAGGCATTGGTTTTAATCTAGAGCAGGTCAACTACGATCCCCAAGTTCTCTCATCAGGAAAGCACATGCTGCTACCTCCTCAATCGGCTCAGCTACCGTGTAAAGTCCTGTTCTTTGTCTTGGTTGCTGCAGCTTTATTTCTTGAGAGGCACCTGATCGTGCATTACTTGTCATAATCATTTTTTGGTCATTCAGGATTGTGGCTATGCTGGAGGGAAATGGAATGCTGAAGTTCGCAAATGTTGGAGATTGTGGGCTAAAGCTTATCCGTGAAGGTATTAATCTTGATTCTGAGGTTGGTGTTCCCCGCATCATTCTATTTGGCATCCCTTTCCTTTTTGTCATTCATTTATTCTAAACAATTGAGGGCGGATCGTACGATTTATTTGAATTACAGGGCAATTAATATTCTCCACTTCTCCACAAGAACACTATTTTGATTGTCCATACCAATTTAGTTCAGAAACTGTAGGCCAGACATATCTCGATGCTATGATATGTTCATTCATATTGCTGCAGCAATAATCTTTTGATTTTCTATGTTTAGATGATGTCGAAGAACTTCCTTTCGCAAAGGTTAGCGGTCTAGAAGGGATTGATGTCGATTATCATTGTGATGGGGTCTGATGTCCTTTTCGACAATGTGTTTGATCATGAGATTGTTTCCATGATATGCCAACATTGAAATGCTAGTGATGCTGGCAAGTTATTTGTAGTAATTTAGATGTGTTACATTCTTCTCTATTTTTACTAATTGGCTGTGGTAATAACTTTGACCATTGCAATGGTAGCAGAGGTTCTGGCTAACTTAGCGAGAGTACATTCACTGGATTCGAGCTACGAGTCACCCTATGCATTGGAAGCCAGGTCCAAGGTGACCATCAGACAAACTTCCAAAATTTGTTCACATCTATATGACTACATACATAGTTGACCTGTATATAGAATGTTGAAACATTTCATCTCTTGGCAGGGTATTGAGTTACCATGGTGGAAAAAGATCTTTGGCATGCAACCTACAGGCACGGCAGACCTTTTGCTTTTCCTACTTCAACATTTATGGGGTGTTTGACGATATTACTGTGATAGTCGGCTAGATTTGTAAGTCTGTAGTAGATGAGGGATCTTGGATTCAGAGAAACAGACCTATAGCGCTTCGAGCAAATCACTTCAATTTGTAGTTGGATTCGAAGGGAGTTGGGACTTTTCAAAGTTCGGCTCAGTTATATTCATTATTGTTCAGACCACTTGTATGCTCACAACAATTGAACCTGAGATGATGTTCTGTAATCCATGGCACTGAAGCATTTCATATCAATACAGATTGTCAATTCAGTAGCATTTGCAAGAACTTCACATAGGCAGATGCTGGCATATGGAACTGGAAATGCTCACTTTCTTTATTGTACATGCTGCTACAAGCTCCAATTAAAGCCAGTATACAAAGTCTTACCAACTTCCAGAACATCAGCAATAACAGGAAACAGAACTACCAAATCAAACTTTGATAGATAAGAACATTATGTCCGAAGATCAGACGGCATTGAGAGGACCACTCCCACAGAGAACGCAGAATTCATCATAACTCGATGTGCACCAGCCGGGAAGCAAACCCGGATATGTACCGTGACAGGGTACTATTCTACCACTAGACCACTCTTGCTGCTGTTGTTTTCATTGAAATTTAGTGCTACTGAGATAATATCTACTCATACCTTGAACTCCTATTTTATACATTGAAATGGACCAATGTTTTACGTGTCCTTTGATTGTTGGATTTGAAAAAATTAAAGTTATAACTTATAACCCTCCTCAACCCACACACTAACCAACTGTAGCTTCCATCGTACACATGATCTGACAGTTCCTCATAATTTGGAATTGGGCTAGGCCAGCAAGTAAACCCAGAGTGGAACACCCTCCGATTCATTCAAACCGTTCGATCACCAAAGACATTAGCTCTCTCTAAAAAAATTCGAGTAGACAATTAGAAAACTCCAACAAGACAATATCCAGGTTACTCATATGTACAGCACGTAACATCATGCATGATTACAATGGATGGCTACTTTACATCATGCATGATAACAGTGAACCGGTAGCAAAAGCCACTTTTCCATCTCATTAGAAACAGAAATCTACTTTTATACTTATAGTTCTAGACAGTATTGTACAGCACAACAAACAACCGTTGCCCCTTCACACTGGCTGCGCCGACAACAAAAAATCTGGCAGCATTCTCTGCAACAAAATCCCACAAAATGGGCAGAAGGGTCTTGGGGACTTCTCAACAGCAGAAGCTTCTTTCCAGGAACTGAAATCCGTAGGAAACCTAGGCATCTTAAACAGATATTCAGGAGCCAGCTTGTGCACCTTCCTGCGACAACATATGCAGAACCACGAAGGACTCGCGGGGCAAACCTGCATTGACACTGCACATCTAGGCACTTCATGTTTCTCCATGTCTCCCTTGATGCTCTCTGCACCTTGGCAAGTTGCATGCTCTGGAGACTCAAAAGGAACTGAGGCTGTACAAAAGATGCACTGCTCTGTTGCAGCATTACTGTCACCGCCCATCCTGTTTGTAGTCAGCAAAATGCGCATACATTGATTCAGCAGGCAAACACTTACCCCAATTGCATGCTATTTCGTGAGTGTAATGTAACAACAGTGTCTCGTCAATGCATATGTATAAGAAATCGTACAAAAATCTGAAAGAGACGCAGGATCCCACTTCACTAAAATTAGTTTTTTTTTATAATCATTTCAAATCCATGATATTTGAGATTGTATCATTTTGATGAATTTCAAAATGCATGTGTTTTATTCAGAAGTGTTATGTTTGTGCAATTGTATGGTATTACAAATATGGCTGTCCCCAAATACCAAAACCAAGTACCTCATGATATATATGAAGCTTTTAAGGAGGAAAGGAGTTACCTTGTATGCTTCTGAGCTTCTGATGCAAGGACCTTGAGTTGATTCCTCACGTGAGCATGGTTAAATACAACCCATTGCTCCATCTGCATGACTCCCAATGGAGACCAAGTTTCAGGCTGTAAGGAAGTTTTAGCTGCCGAGTGAGACCCACCGGAAACAGCCGCAAAGCTAAGTCCCACAAGCCTCTCTCGGAGTTCTCTTTCACTTCCTAGCAGTGTTCGCAAACCAAGCTCAAGTGTCTCATTTCTGACACTGGTAGTGTCAGTGGTGACACTGGAGTTGAGTTCCCCGGCCTTCATCTCAGACAGAATTATTCGTCTGGTCATGATATTTAAAAGGTGCAAGAGGCGAGATGGGACTTCTGAGAAGCACTTTGAGGAAAGCGTCAGCACCTCGCCAAGGGGACGATAATCTGTGTTCTGACCACCCAAGAATGCTGTGGATAGCCATCTACCCAGTAAATAGTCGACATACTTGGGAATCGAATCTTTGAAGACCAAAAGAGCTGTTATGATATCCCATACTACTAAAGACTTATTTGGATCTTCGTACTGCTTCAATGACCATAGGATGTTGGATTCCCAGCAGGCCAATTCGTTTGGGGTGAATCCGGGAAATGATTCTTTGTAAGAGTCTATTGAAGTGTTGGTGGTGGTGCTCTCCACTGGTTGTCCACCGATCCACAAAAATTCAACTACAGCCTTCTGAGCCCTGCAAGTTTTTCAGGAAATAGAAAGTGAGACTTATTTTGAGGGGTCTTCCATTAAGATCACATTGGTTTTTATACTTGATTGCAAACTAATCAAGTTATTCAAACTTACCTTGCCTCGTACATTTGGCCCAATAGCTCAACATCAAGATCACGGACCTGCCAGAAGTAAGAACCTAGTAATTAACTTAAGTTTGAAATGACTAAAACTTCATTGAGAGAATAAAACGTGGGAGAATACTCTTACCATTGCAACCATGAGATTTCCAGGTGATGCTACAACGCCCAGGCATGAACGCAAAGCATCAGGAACCTGCAAAAGAAAGCTCATTGTTTTCTCAAGGGAAAACGGGATTCCGATAGAAAAGGAGACACAGGGAAGTTAGCAAACCACCCACTTCATGTGAACCGGTTTGACCAGGAATGTTCGAGGGGATGGACACTTCGGAGAGGCATCCCCCACGTAAGATCCAGCTACGTAAATAGTTGTCCTGGAACATGTTGAAAGTTGGAGCGTTAACAATCTGACACATAATAACAATAGGGTCAATTTTGCTAGTTTGTCCATTTCTATGAATGATGTTACCTGGCCACAGCTGTACAAAGAAAGTCCATCTGAAGACCAACACAAACCTGTAACCTGATGCATCCTTTCTAGTGTAAGTTATGGTTGAGAGAACCGAGAGAGATGGAGAGAGAGGAACAGATTTAGAGTACATACAGCATAGTCATGAGCATCATGACATCCAGCTTTGTCAAGTTTGAAGTTTGATGTGTCACATGTCCAAATTTCAAAAGACCCTGATCCTTTGCCAACTGCTATACGCATTTTATCCACAGGTTGAACAGGTAGCAGCACCGAAAGAACCGAAATTGGGACAATATTTACACGAATAACCTGTTGGAAGGCTAATGTTAGTACTGAAGCCCAACATTAATTCAAATGAATATAAACAGTTACAACCAGACTGCAAACAGCTACCTCCTTTACTAGGACAAAGGGAGCTGCTTTACTAGCTTCTGATAACTTACTCAGCTCTTCCACATTCCCCAGCCACAACTTCACACTGAAGATGAAAAAGGAGAAAAAAGAATTCAGTCCTCATTGTAGCATTCTGAACTATACTTGGGTGTCTTGTTTACCTTTAACTCACCTTCCGTCTGTACTGCCAGTAACCATTACAACCCGGGGCTCACAGTTTGAAACAAGTAATTCCAAACTCACTGCAGTTACCCATGAAGTATGCGCCTGAAGAAGCCCAAGAAACAGTACACCAGTAGGGGCTTTACATTGCTCAATTGAATAGCATTGAGGTGCACTAATTCTCCAGAATGAAATTTTACCCGACTTCCCTCCAACAGCTAGAATAGAATATTTCTGGAATGGATCATCTGAAGATGGGAAACTTTTGTTTGATGGTGAACACAATAATGGAGACCATGTAACCACAAGTGAGGAAAGCAGTGCACTACGAGCAGCATACTCCTTTGAAATTAAAAGCGGAAATGTACAGCTTCCCATTTTATTCTTTCCCAGCTTGGCGAGCTTTGTCTGCGCACATAAGCAAATTAGTCCCCATGCAGAAATGCCAATATTGCTTGAAGCATAATGACTGGTGAAAAAAAGGAGAAGGGTATGGTAAAGAACCTGATTTCGGAAAGCTTACCTTGGGCGATTTCTTGCTATCCAATATTCTGAGAAGGGTGGGTTTAGTGCTAGTAATCTCAGCATGTCTAGGTTCTGATAATTGTTGCTCAAAACTATCAGCATGACTGCTTCTGCAGCATCATCATGTAAAACAGCACAATGGAGAGACAAGCTATTATGAGATATGCGTACAAACATTTCAACAAATTATATCTGAAAAATTACAAATATGAGATGTGCAAACAATAAAAACATACTATGGTAAGAGCAAACAGCGTAAGAGACAAGAACAAGCAGTTTTACATCTGAGCAGCAACGGTAACTCGTCTCCGCTTGTATTGCTTCAATACAACAGGCTTGAGTATCTTGCCAGTTGACGAATTGGGCATATCATCCTCAGCAGATTTTCCCTTTGACCCTCCATTCTGACATGCATAAATGGATATGAGACTCACCTTTCATTACTCAAGACAAACATGACCCCACAGACCATGCCAAAAAATGAAAAATCATAACAACATGTAGTAAGAGAAGCCCTTAGAACTCACAGAAGGAATTTCTGAAGTAGAGATGTCTATCTCCACAAAGTTAATCTTTGCAAGATGATCATACAGCATGTCTGATATATCAGCAGCCTAATATGAATTTGCAAAAAAAGAATTGGTATTCTGATTCAGATGGCATACAAAAATTTGCAATCAACTCATTAAAAATGGAATACCACTGAAAGCATACCTCTATCCAGTTGGTGCTGTAATCACAAAAGGGTGGGCGATAGACCTTCACACATCCTTCAAATGTACAAACTGCAAGCAAACAGCTGAAAAACAAAACGGGTCTGAAGCTATTCTAGTCACATCAAAGGAAAGGTGTAATTGGAGGTACATACCCATAATTAGGAGACATTCCAAGAGAAGACCAAGCAATTGACCTAGCACAGGGTTTTCGATCCCTCGATAAAGCAGTGGGCAGCAGGTCACCGGAGAGCAAATCTGCAGACCAGGCAAGCAACCACCAGTTGGCGGGAACGTCTTAACAGAAACC